CTTATTTTATTCATTTGAACTAAAATATCTCTCTTCTCATGTTTAGAAATTTCTTTTCTTCTCAAATTGAAAACATAAACACATAAACAAACCAGGGGGAGGTTCTTCAACATTTTAAATGTACTGTATACCCATACAAGAATAACTGACAAAGATGACGCACTTTGTTTCCATGGATGACACTTGAAATTCTGACCTTTCTGCTGTGCCACCATGGCACCACATATGGGATGGGAGATACGTCCCTGAACGTGAGCCCCTCACAGTTCTTCCAGTGTGGTATCCGGCATCCCCAGTGTGTTTTGCATGAAAGCCATGTTGATTGTTGCCGTAACATCAGTGTCTGTGTATCAGTGACCAAATAATCTTCACAAACCCCCGCAGAGAATCCCGATGCCTTTAAGTCTGGCAAATTTGGAAGCCATTGGAGTAACTACACCCTCACTAGTTGTCATTGAATTTATAGTTTGTGAATGCACAGACTTCAGACCTTCAGTCAGGCAGTGTCCAGTGAAGCAGGAGAATGACCATGTTCAAGTCTTCCAGCCCCATTTGTGTCATGAGGCACTCTTCAGCTTGTTGAGGTTTGGTCCTGGGTGCACCATCTCCTTGGACCTGTACACTGTAACAGGTCATTCCACACAGGCATAGACCTTCAGAGTTGTCCTTTCAAGTGTGTACCTAAATCCATGGTGGCATGAAATGGAACCTTTTCTGAAAAGGTGTTCAAGAAAAGTGATTTCCAACTCTCTTTGTTCATGAGTGCAAAAGTGGATTAATCTTTTTGGCCCATTCAATTAAAACATGAATTTGCTGCTTACGATATTGGAACATTTTCACGTACCACCAGAAAATGCACTGGCATGTTGTGTGTGGTAATGTTCTCAGTTTGTCAAAAAGCAAAGCTCCTCCGTATTAAAATCAAAACTTCTCTTTTTTTTTTTTTTCCAAAGATTGTATTTTTACAGTAATATACACTTTATTAGTAGTGTAGTAATCATTAATGGAATGTCCTCCTCCCTTTTTTTTTTTCTTTTTTCTACATTCTACCCAGCCTACCATCATGTCTCACCAGAAAGGCATACCTCATCCTTTGAGAAACATTGGCGCAGGTGCATTAACCTTAGGGATGGTTGCCTCATGATCTTCCTATGATTCCTGTTGATTGCAGCACAAACAGTAACTTCTTCTCTGGCGAACACATACATCCCCTGGCCTGAGTTTAGTCTTTTGTACAGTGGACAAGATGAAACTCATGCTGGTCTGCTAACACACATGAATTTTGCACATCACAGGGCATACTTTGCATGCTGCATTGCTCTGACCTCAAACTTTAAATTTCCCGTGAGCCACAAGTGGCATATATACAGTGGATCAATCATTATGAACTCCATATCGTATTAACCCTTTGACGCGGTCATTTAAATTCCGCGGCCGCGTCTCCGGCGGTAATATATTCAGCCGGCCATTTAAATTTTGCTCGAAAATGATTTATTCATCATTGTTCTTAAATTCTATGAGATAGGAACATGAAACTTTCACTAAAATGATCTTAAATGGTGGTTTTATAACCTTACCTTATAATATGGGCGCCCTGTATCTCGGCCATGGAAGCAGGTTGTTTAGTATTTCAGCAGTGAATGGTACGCCTTGAAGGATGAAACTTTCACTAAAATGATCTTAAAAGATGGTTTTATAACCTTGCCTTATAATATGAGCACCCGGTATCTCGGCAATGCAAGCAGGTGACGCCTTGAAGCATTAGTCTAAACACAGCGCTGGCTCACATTCACCAAACCAATACTGCGTATCTTTTCTTTTGCTCTTTTTTTTTTAACCACAC